ACACACTGCCCTCCTGGGAGGATGGGGGCATGAGCTGCATGGGAGAAGAAACTTGACAGGCTTTCACTCTGCCCGGGGCTGGCCGGGATGCTGGAGGGGGAAATGTTTCTCTTTGTGTAAAAGATAGGTCCAGAGTATGTGTCTGTGTCTGTGTGCTAATGGTATCTGGAATAGTGGAGAAGTGAAAATGGAGATTTTGAAGACTCCTAAATAGGAAGCAACCACTGGAAAAGATGAAGAGAAATGTTAACTTGTATTCGTTGATCTCCTATTGTGCACAAAATGCTAGGGATACAGATGAAAACAAAACACTGCCAGCCCTCAGAAATCTTGTATGGATTTGGACAAATCACTGGGCCCAGTAGGCTTGGGAATTGGTTTGGGAATCAGAGCAACTTTCCCTTCCCCCACTGCCTGGACCTTTCTCACCGCCTGGCTTCCTGGTCTTCCTGAGTACCTTCTCTCCTTCGATTCTTCTTCCATTTTGTCCTGCATGGATCTCCTTTGTCCACCGTTGTCTGCCTGTTGTCTCCTCTGTTAGACTGCGAGCAAGCACTGCCTTTCCTCCTGTCCCCAGTGCCTGGCACATAGTAGGCACTTCATAAATGCTTCTTCACTTGATTAACTCAACTAGCCGTTAATGATTTGATGCCAGCTTGGAAGAATGTCTCCAGAGGCACGCTCCAGGGCTCTGTGCTCAGTCCCAGGGACACAGTGCTCAGATGTGCAGATGATTGGAAAGCGGGAGGGGTGACTGACACCCCATGCCAGGGCCAGAGAGCTCCGAAGGCCAAACGGAGCGCTTTCAGTCCTGGAAGCGTGAGGGAGTCCCAGGGGTTTAACGAGCGGAGGTGACGCGATCGGACCTGTTTGTTGGGGAAGTCGAGTGAGTGGCTGGGTGGAGCGCGGGTCGGAGTGGGCTGGGATGCAGGGGCTGTGTCCAAGAACTTGGAGAACTGCCGAGAGGAGGAGGAGTCAGAATCATTCCTGTTGGACCTGGAAGCAGCGTCAGGAGCAGCTGGTGGGGCAGGCAGAGAAACACTGAGACACCGACGTTAGGAAGCACTTGGAGGCGGTTGGTGGTGCCGCCAGGCCTAGGGCTGGGAAAGCCGAGTTCAAATCCCGCCGCGTGACCTCGGACGTGCCACTTAACCTCTGACCGCCTCCGATTCCTCGGTTGTAAAAGGAAATGATAGCGGCACTTCCTTCCCAGGGTCGTTGTGATAATCCAGTGAGATCGTGATTGTAGAGCGGTTATCGCAGGGCGTGGCAGTGGAGCAGACGCTGTTTAAATGCCTATTTCCAACCCCCCCCCCCAGTCAGAAGGGGCTGCCGCAGAACTCAGTTCCCCTTCGCTGGAGGCCCCCAAGCAGAGGCCGGAGGACTGTCTGTTGGGTCTGTTATAGTGAGGATTCTCTTTCAGTTATAAGTTGGAAAAGATGATGGTGAAGGTCCATTTCAATTCAGATTATGTGGTTCTGTGACCTGAGTTCGAGTTTGGGCTCTGCTGGTTACTGCCTGTGTGACTCTGAGCAGGTGGCTTAGCTTCCCCGGATCTCAGTGTGTGCGTGCGTGAAAGCAGCTCTTTGGTCCCTTCTAGCTTTCAGCCTGAAATTCCAAATTTGCCTTCTCTTGTCTGTGCGCCCTCTTAGAAACCTGGCTTGTGTGGCTTGTGTGGACAGACACTGAAGACTGCGCACTCAGGTAACCCCAGCTTGATTCTCCAAGTAGGAGAAAAATAAACACTGATATTTGTTAGCAAAATCATGCTGCAGTGGAATGATAGTCTCAGACCTGCGCCTTGACTGTTGAAGATGTCAGTTTGTGGAGTAGGCCACTATTTCAGGCCCAACATAATAGTCCATATTGTGGGACTACATGTTTTTTTTCTTAGGACCAGCCTCGTTAAGTTCATCAGCTGTGTGAAGGCTGGTTTGGAGAAGAGAGAACCTACTCCAGGCCCTATCAGCTCTCACTTGAATTGCCAACATCCTAATTGGTCTTCTGTCTTCAGTGTCTCTACTTCCAACTTATCTTCTCCATAGCTATCAAGATAATCTTCCTCAAGCACATCATGTCCAACCATGTCACTCTTGTCCTCATTGGCTTAGTATTGCCTCTAAGATAAAATGCAGACTCCTGAAGTTGGCACTGAAAGCTTTTCACAGGCTTTTCTCTAGAAAATGGGGAGGATAATACTAACTGCATGCCTTGCAAAAGTTGTTGAAAGGAAAAGTGCTTTATAAACCGAGATGCCCTACAGACATAAGACTCCTCCGGTGGGCAGATTCTTCTCCATCCCAATATATCTTTCCTGTCTGCTGCTCCCTCCACCTCTGCTGCTTTTCCCATTTCTTTATTGCCCAGTAATATTAAAATGGCCCCAAGTATAAAATCATCATTCTTGTTTTCTACTTAGGATCATGGCGTTTTTATCTTTGCATCCCTAGCACCTAGCGTTAATGCCTTACACATAGTAGGTATTTGATATTTGCTGAATTGAATCGACTCCATTGTAAAAATGAAGGTACGTTCAGAGACTTTGGCATAAAAATGTTATAGTGTCTCTTGACCAGACACCATAAATGGAGAAAAAGTCTGGACCCAAAAGTAAATAAGAGGATGATGGGCAGATTTGCATTTGCAAATGTGCTTTAAATGATCTTAAGTTGCTCCCTGAAACAAGCAAACAAAAACCCATCCTTTTAACAACAGTATTCTTCTGGTTATACGCATGGCTATAAATAATAGAATAAATACCAGGCTTAGAAGACTCAAACCTACATGTAGGTTACCCCAAGGGCCATGGAGAGACCTATAGTGAGCCTGTGTAAACTAATAAATGTTACTGATGAGAATTTCCATGAAGGGGCATAAAAGACCAGTCAGCCTACAAGCATTTATTAAGTGCCTACTGTAAACCAGGTACTGTGCTAGATGCTGGGAATTTAAAGACAAAAAAAAAACCATAGTCCCAACTTTTAAGGAGCCTATATCCTACCAAAATAAAATACATATATAAATCTGTAAGAAACATATATATATATATAAAGTAAATACGAGATGATTTTTTGCAGTGTAGGAAAGGTTAGGAAAGAGACTCCTGTAAGGTGGTGCTTAAGATGAGCTGTGAAGGAATGGGGCTGGGGGGATGACACAGCCCGAGCATTGGGGACAGTCTGGGTACAGACAGAGAGACAGGCAGTGGAACGTGGTTCGTCAGTGAGGCAGCCGTTCTGGCTAGACTGCAGAGTCTATGATGGAGGATAATGTAGACTAAGCATGATCAGACCTGTGCTTTAGGACTGTCACTTTGAGAGACTCATGAGAGAGATTTGAGATTGGAGGCAGGCACCAGTCTGGAGCTGTTTCAGTAGTTGAGCAAAAGGGCTGAAGCCTGGACCAGGTGGGGTGGTAGCCATGTCGTTGGAGAATAGGAGACGGAGAGAGAGATGGTGGAAGTAGAACTGATAAAACTTGGCCTCTGATTGTATGTAAAGAAGTCATGGGTCACTCCTAGGTTAATGACTCAAAGGAACAGTCATCCCCCTACAAAGCTAGGGCAGGCTGGAAGAAGGGCAGGTTTTGGAGATCATGAGGAATGAGTTGTTTGGGGCATGTTAAGTTTGAGGCGCCTGTGGGACACAGAGTGGGAAATACCAGTAGGAAGTCAAGGATTCAGGATGAAGGCCAGCGCTGGATATAGAGATCTGGAAATCATCTGCACAAAACGATAGTCAGATCCATGGGACTTGATGATCTGTCCTGGTCTGTCACCAAGTGGATAGACAGAGAAGTGAAAGGGACCCGGGAAAGAGCCTTGGAGTGTAGTCACAGTTAGGGCGACAGAATATGAAGGGTGATCTGGCTAAGAGAACCTAGAAGGAATGATCCGACAGATGGGAAGAGTACCAAAAAAGAGCAGTCACCAAAACCCGGTGAGCAGAGGATATCCCCAAAGAGCAAGGCAGTCAGCTGTGTCAGAAGCTACAGAGAAGAAATCAGGGTAGATGACTGGGAGAGGAAGGGCTGGTCATGGAATAAGAGGGACAGAGACCTGGAAGAGTTTGGTTGGAACCCCTTTGCGGGATGAATGGAAAAACGTGGACCAAAAAAACTGCTTCGCAGATGCAGCAATGAGAAAACAGATTGAAGAACATTTTAAAAACCCTGTGCTGTCCTCATTTTCATCTTTCAGACTCTTTTGCTTCCTTCAGAGCTCTGCTTTTGGGCCGTGCCTAGCTGGCCTTGCCTGGTATCCACAGCTGTCTCTCCCTCCGGTATTGCTGGAGCACTTCATCAGGTCTCTCCTTTGCCCCCTGTACTTATACAGACACATCAATGTAGAGTGCCCTGTGTACATGCTGAATCCTGTAATAGAGCGTTCAGGCCTGGTAGAAAGAGTCAGGAAGGCCACTTTTCACATCCTACCTCCAGCGCTTACTGTGTGACCACATCCAGCGCCCACCTCAGTCTCCTGGTGAGGTTCCAATGACAGAAACTCTGTAAGGGGCTCAGCAGACAGTAAAGTACCATGTAAATATGTGAATTATTATGGGAATGTACACTTCTTAAGGTTTGCATCGAAGCTATTGATACACACAGCCCTGCCTAAACCTTTCCAGGGAGTGCCTATTGTTTTCTGTGGCCAGTTCTTACGGTATCGGTAGCAGTAGGGAAAAGAGAACGTGAATAAAATCTATACCGAATCAGAACACATTTTAAAAGAGCGCTGTAACTACTTCCCTCATCAGATCTTTTCACCATGTTCCTTTAATGAACATGTTCCTCAAATCAGCTAGTTTGAATCTCACTGCCCTTCACTGTTCTTGGGGGAAGTTGTCCTTTATACAAATGATGAATAATAGAAAGTAGAGGAGAAACAGAATAATCTGAATAAACTGAATAATCCACGTGTTATATGATTCTGGGAGTAACCCGGCTGGGTGTGTTGTATTTCATAAGGACCTAATGAAATCTATCCTGTTTTTCTTTTGCAGGTATCCAGACTATTGACTCCACTCAAGCACTGTTCCTTCCCATTGGAGCGTCTGTCTCCCTTCTAGTCATGTTTTTCTTCTTTGATTCTGTTCAAGTAGTCTTTACAATATGTACAGCAGGTAAATGGTTCTGTCTGTTTCCTTATGATTGTAACATTATTGAAAGGGAAAGACTTGGCTTTCTGGGCTCTCCAGGGATAGAGACACATTTGTGTAGTATCTGCTGTGCACGTTTTTATGTCCGTGAAATCTGACTCCTCAAATGTTTACACAGAGAGGACTTAGGATAACGTAGGCCTTTGGCTTTTCTTTTCAGTTTGGGAGGAAAGAGTGGGGTGGCAAGGTTGTTAGGGATAGAATAGCCCCCCAGAAAAGGAAGGAGGAGGGTCATTTAATTAAAACAATGTATAGAAAGGAACAAAAGGAAGACCATGAAGAAAGGACAGTTTTGAAACTTACATGATGAATTTATTATAAATTTAAAAAGAAAAGCAAGCAGTACAGACTAGACATCCACAGTTTCATGCATAGGCCTCTTCTGTTCTTTGTATATAGAAATGACCATTTTGATTGGTGTTTAATTTCAGAATAAAAAAATTTTAGCAAGGATAGCTTATGCCCTTGCTCCTATATTTATCTGTCCAGACCTGCCAAAAGACAGAAAGAACAAGGAGAAAATTCAAGCAAGTGAGAATTAATGAGAGAGGGTTTTGTGTGATAATAAGAATGATATATGTCTGTTGCCATTGTAGGAAGTTGAGCAAGCACTTTTTGACATTCTCTAGTTCTGGCTCGTGTAGTAAGTTTCAGAGCCCCGACTAGGATTACGCAAAGTAAGCAGACATTTGGGGCCCAGCCTGTGGGATTAGGGTTGCGGGGAAGGGGGCAGTGGAGTATACATATTATCATGATCATCACCCTGCATTGCTGTGTGTACATGTTTCAAACTATCTACTGCCCAAGGCATGTGCATATTGTGTGATAAGTTAAGTTGTACATTATAATAATATTGGTGGATAAGAATAAAATTTTCAAATATCGAATAGGGCACGCAAATCTAACTCCTAACCAAACTCCAAATGTCCAAAGGCTTCTCATTGGATAGCTGATTGTAAATCTCTTGCCCTACAACTTTTGTTTTTAAGGGTACAGTATGAGAAGATGTAGCCAGAGAGAATCCACTGCTTGTCAAAGTCAAGGCAGCATGAAGTAATGAAAAGAATGCTGCATTTAGAGACAGAGGCCTTGTATTCAAGTCTGGGTTCTGCTCCATGACTTTATGTGACCTCACTAAACCTCTGGGACTCAGTTTCCCTCTCTGTAAAATGGAGGGACTAGAGGAGCTCTAGAGAGGCCTTCAGTGGTAAAGCTGTGATCCTTTTGAGCTTCCCTCCTCGAGATCTAGTAACAGTTAGATGAATGGTCAGCTCTGTAGGAAGGCTTTATGGGGTCATGGAACACATGTTGGGAGGAAATGCAAAGAGAAGTGATATTGAGGAGAGCTTTTACACGGGTGTCAAGTAGACAAATGTATTAATACTGTCTTTTCTTTCTCTAGTTCTTGCAACGATAGCTTTTGCTTTTCTTCTTCTCCCGATGTGCCAGTATTTAACACGACCCTGCTCACCGCAGAACAAGTAAGGGCTGACGAATTGTTTATAAACCGCACGCTTCTATTTGGTTTTCTCTCACACTTGATAGTAACCACCAAGAGCCTGGCAGGTTATTGCCTTTAACACATGAGCGTTGGGAGCCTGTGTCTGCTGTAACTATCCAAGCGATTGCTTCCTGATGAACCCCGTTGCAGCTGTGGAAACACAGATCTGTCTTAGGAAGCTGGGGCTGTCATAACGTGCTTCCTTTCTGGAATGTGGAGTCTCAGAGAGCACGGGATAATGACTTTTGAATGTAAACAGTCTCCTTTCCAGGACTTAATATATAGAGGTGTGATCCTTTTCCTTTCTGGCGGTAGGAACCAGATAGCCTTTTATTGTGTACTACTTCAGGGTGCAGTTTTGGCAACTTTGTTTTAATTTAATCTTGATGTTTACACTGAAATCCAAAGCACAGTTTCCCCACACAAATTGAATTCCCAGCTAGTCTTTGTACCGTATCTTTTTTTCATATAGAGATTTAAGTATTTTAAATGAAATATTATCAAAAAAGCCACAGTAACATTTTTTTAAAATAACGATGGTTAAACAGATCAGTAACAAAAAGCTTCCACAAGTGGAGGCAGGAGGTCTTCAGCAAAATGTAGCACTTAAAAATACTAAAACGATTTATTCAGCAATGAAAGGAATTTCGCCAAAAAGCCTTAAATTCTAGCCTTATTTTTGTGTATATACATATGCTTTTATTTATTCACTTATTTATTTATTTATTCCTGTTAGAAATATGTATAGTCAAACAAAATAAATTCTTACATTGGCCATGTCTTTAAAAAAAAAAAAAAGTCTTGCTCTGTAGTCGGGGTCCATCATCTCTGTCAGGAGGTAGGTGGCGTGTGTCACCATGAATTCTCTGGAGTTGTGATTGGTCACTGCATTGATCAGTGTTCCTAAGTCTTTAAAATGTTGGCATTACTGTAGAAATTGTTCTCCTGGACTTCTGGGTCATGTGAGTAAAAAGATGGCCGACTGGACATTTTCTCCAATCACTGTGACCTCTCCAAAATGGTCTGATTTTGGGTCTAAACACCCAGAATCTAAAAGGTGGAAGACAAAAAAATACAAACTAAAACAAAAAAATCCTCTTCTCTTTCTCTCTCTCTCTCTCTCCCTCCCTCCCTCTTCTCCCCCCCCTCCCCCCCCAGTCTCTGACTTTGGAGTTCACTCGGTACCCCTCCCCCATCTTGCACTACCAGCAGAGAGACTACGCTAATGATCCCAAGGACACAACACATGTTTACATCAAAACCCACCTCATACGCCCTAGTCCCCTTTCTCTGCAGCGCCATGTAGATGCCGGCTCCAGGGTGCAGAAGATTGCTCAGGCTTTGACAGCCAGCTTGGCTGCAGCTCTTTTCTTTTCTTTTCTTTTCTTTTCTTTTTTTTTTTGGCTAGGCAGTGAGGTTAAGTGACTTGCCCAGGGTCATACGGCTAGTAAGTGTGAACTGTTTGGTCTGAGGGCTGATTTGAACTCAGGTCCTCCCGACTTCAGGGCCAGTGCTCTATCCACTGCACCACCTAGCTGCCCCAAGGATTATGGGGTTGTTGTTTTTTTGTTTGTTTGTTCTTGTTTTTTTTTGGTTAGGCAGTGAGGTTAAGTGACTTGCCCGGGGTCACACAGCTAGAACGTGTTATGTGTCTGAGGCCAGATTTGAACTCAGGTCCTCCTGAATCCAGGGCTGGTGCTCTATCCACTGCACCACCTAGCTGCCCCTTTGGCTGCAGCTCTTGAGGAGCAAACATCTGCTGGGGGAAAGAGTCCAAAAGCAGCAGTCCTACAAAGCTCTGAACTATTGGTGCCAAGCCAGAGAACTGAGGAGTAGAGGTTGTGGGACAAGCCGCCAGGCTGTGTGTTGGGAGCCATGCAGCACCCACACAAGCCTGAGAGGAAGGACTCAGCGTCCAGCTGGGGCCGGTTCTGGCCATCCAGAAGTCATTTGGAGCAGAGGTCCAGGCAGTGAATCATCGCTCTGCGTGGGAGGAGGCCGAGATACTTTGAGATCCATCCACTAAGGAAACCACCATCAGAGGGAAGTGAGTGGTAAGCAGAATAAGGAGGGGGGAAAGATGGAGATTGCCCAAGATTTCAAGAGGAAAAAAAACCTGGAACATAAAAGAGACAAATCAACAGGAAAAGCAGTACCAACAGAAGAAAATATGGCCTTCAGACATAATAAACAAATCCGGCTAAATGAAGGAAAGTGATCCAGTGCTTGGTGAGACAGCGGACCCTGCAGAAGTCAAGAAGAACGGGAAACCATAATGGGCTGCTCCTGAGGGGTCCAAAAGAGAAGTGGGAAGTAAGCAGAATCTGTGTCCTACACAGCAAAATAGTGAGCAGTGTCAAAGCTCAGCGAAGAAACAAAACCAAGAGCAAGAGGTCGGGAGGGCAAGTACACGAAAGGGAAGGACGGGGCAGCTGGGTGGCACAGTGGACAGAGCACCGGCCCTGAGTCAGGAGGACCTGAGTTCAAGAAATCTGGCCTCAGACATATGATGCTCACTAACTTTAGCAGGCCCCTGGGCAAGTCACTTAACCCCGATTGCCTCACCAAAAAAAAAGTGAAGGACAACCTGCAAGAAGAAAAGCAAAAAACAACAAGAACATTAAAAGAAAATATCCTCACCATGGAAGCAAAACATACCAAACTTGAGGACAGGATATGTAGAAATAACCTAAGGAAACTATAGGTCTTCCAGAAGAACACAAGACAAAAAACTGTAACACCATGATGAAGGAAATAATGGAGAATTGCCTAGAACTTCTAAACATAGAAAATGTAATTCCAGTGGGAAGAATTCACAAATCTCACAAATCACCAGGGGGGCGGGGAGGACGGGAACATAACCCACGGCTTCAAATTCCAAGACACATAGTGGTTACATTTGACCCTTTGGTTCAAAACAACAAGTTCTGCAAGCCATCAGGAGAAAGACTTTCAAATACAAAGGAAAGAACATTCAGATAACACAAGACTATTCTGCACCCACCAGTAAGAGAAGAAAGGAATGGAATCATGTGTTCCTAAGAGTACTGGAGCTTGGGGTGCTGCCCAGGGTGACCTGTCTTCAAGTCTGAGCTTAACTGTACAGGACGAAAGGTGGATATTCAGTTATAATGAGGAGAGTATTTGCCTCCCAAACAATAGGTATGCAGGAGTGAATAAATGCAGCAGGCAAGGACAGTAACAGGGGTGACACCAGAGAGACCAGGAAGAGACTTCTTTCTAAATGTGTACTGGGAGACAAGGGCAAAGGCAGAAATCTGATAGAGGTCACAGTAGGGGCTGACAGGGGGCATTACGGACAGAACCTGGTGATGCCCTGCCTACAGGTGAATGTTTCTTGGAGGGTACGTAAACAGGAAGGGAGCAGGGGGATGGAGAGGAGTAAATGATTCACTGGGGTCAAATCAAGGGCTAGCAATGAGGGGAATGTAACCTCTGTACTCTCAGAAAGTGAAGAGCCTGCAGGAGAGTAGGGAAGAGGAGAAGGTGAAGATCGAAAAGGAAGGTTCCGTTAATTGATGAATGCTCCCATGACTGAAAAGAAATGGTTGGTGAAGGGAGATAAGGAAGGTATACTGGACAAGACCTGGGGGAGTCATGGGGGGAGTTGGAAGCCCTGGGGGTAGCTAGCACCTGGAGGAGTGGGAGAACACAGACATATGAGATTTCCAGGCAGATGGAGGAAAAGTGGTCAAAAAGAGAGTGTATAGGGGCAGCTAGGTGGCCCAGTGGATAGAGCACCTGGATTCAGGAGGACCTGAGTTCAAATCTGGCCTCAGACACATAACACTTACTAGCTGTGTGACCCTGGGCAGGTCATTTAGCCCCATTGCCTAGCCAAAAAATAAAAAAAAGAGTGTCTAGATGAGCTGTGTGCTGCATGAGGAGGAACCCCACCATAAAGCAGTGTCCTCTCTGACACCTGCAAATAATTGACATTGTTCTAAAAACACTATATGATGAAAACTGGAGATCCAAGGGGCAAGCCCTACAAGGCAAGGTCAGAAAGCACCTTGAGGAGAGCCTAGAATGGACATTTGATTTGCACAAAGAGTAGGGAGAAAAGAGAGACTGCATAATTATAGGGGTCATGAATAAGAGAATGAGAGAGTAAACAGAGAATATAGATAATGAAGAGAGTAAGAGAGATCCTTTTTGGAAAGGGACACATACACCCAGAGAAATTAAAAACTGAGGAACCAGGACAAGCTGAAAGGGTGGAGAAGACAGAGGAATGAGAAGAAAGGGTGTGGGAATGGGGAAGAGAAACAGATAACTGCATGAGAACAGGAGAGAGAAAAGAAGGAAGAAGCCTAAAGGGAAAGGGACATCAAACCAGAAGAGGGGGCTGGGATAAGAGGAAGAGAGCCCGGGGGAATAGGGCCCCTTTGAAAGATTAACTGGAGAAACATAATGTGGATAACATTCATGCATGTAGGATAAGAAGAGAAATGGTCAAGTAGGAAAAAAGTATCAAATTTCTCTGATAAGGGTTTGATATCCAAGATACATAAACAGTGGCATGTGGGTGGGTGGGTGTATAAAATAGCCATTTCCACAATAGATAAATGGTCAAACGATGTGAACAAAGATTATTCAAAAGAACTAAGTATTCACAACCCCGTGAAACGAAGTGCTCTGAGTCAACAATAATAACAGAAGTGCAAATCAGAACCACCCTGAGGTCCAGCCTCACAGGTGGCAAAAATGGCAGCAGTGCTGGAGGACTTAAAGAAAGATGAGCACACGGATACATTGTTGGTGGAACTGTGAAATGGTGCATTTTAGAAAGGAGTTTGGTTTTATGTAAGTAAAGCAATGAAAACATCCCTATCCTTTTAAGCCGAAACTCTGTTACTGAGCTTATGCTTCAAGGAAGCCATTGACAAGAAGAAAAAAAAAGGCCCCCCTATACTTCTAAATATTTATAGCAGCACTTTTGATGACAGCTAAGAATTGGAAACACGAAGATGCCATTAATTGGGGAATGCCTAACACACTGTAGTACATAAATGTAATGGAGTATTCCTGTGATGTAAGAAATGGTGTGTTAGAAATACAGAGAAATGCAGAAAAGAGCTGCATGATTGTTGTTGTGTTTGTCCTTTGTTCTCAAAGAGAACCATGACAGCAGAGAGATGCTGTGACATGCAGTTGACTTTGATTTGGGTGAGGCGGGGCTGTGTGAGGTCACCAGCCTCACTTTCTCCTGCAGGGCCATCTGGGTCCAGTGACCAGATATTTATCAGGACGACTGGAGATGGCCCTGACGCAGTGGGAGACCGTGGCCCTTTTAAGCCGAGGTCTTTTCAGGTTCTCCCCATTCAGTGAATAGGTGCCTCTGTTTAAGAAGTGAGTCAGGGATGGCCCCTTTAATCAAAAAGAGAAAAGGAAAGAAAATCCAGCTGGGAGGGGAAGACCCTCAGGGTTGCTGGCCAAAAGACTCGGTGGTTGTGTTTGTCCTTCGTCCTTGAAGAGGACCGTGACATCAGGGAGATGACACCGTGACTTATCATCGACTTTGATTTGAGGGAGGGAGCGCTGCGCACGAGCTGATGCAGTGAAGGCGGCAGAGCCAAGAGCTCAATATGCATAGTAACTACAGCAGTGGAAAGGGAAAGACACAACAAGAAACCGAGAGTCAGTGCAGCCATCAAGTAGGACCCACAGAGACGGAAGACGCCCCCAACCTGCCCCTTCATGGAGGAGGGAGCGCCCCAGATGTTACATGGTGCACACGTTCTAGACTTTTTCAACGTGTTGAATCAGTTGTGTTGACTTTTTTTTTCCTCTAAAAAACAAGTACCGTCATGTGAGAATGACTCTGGGAGGGAGAGGGATAATTGGGCTAACTATAATGATGTAAGAAACAAAAAATGTCAATAAAACTTACCTTTTTTCAATTGTTCTCTTGGTTCTGTTTATTTCATTTTGCGTCAGTTCATATAAGTCTACCCAAGTTTCTCTGAAACCATCCCCTTTACCATTTCTAACCACACAGTAGTAGTCCATACCATACCATTCGTACACCATAATTTGTTCAGCCATTTCCCGATTGTTGGACATCCCCACAGTTTCCAGTTCTCTGCCACCACAAAAGGAGCTGCTGTAAATATTTTTGTATATATAGATCTTTTTTCTCTTTGATTTCTTTGTGGTAGGTATAGACGTAGTAGTGGTATCACTGGTCAAAGAGGAAGGACAGCCTACTGGTTTTTTAGAAATAGTTCCAACTTCATTGCGGAATGGCTGCACCAGTTCACGGCTCCTCCAACAATGAATCTACCAGGTTTTCCAAGACTCTTTCAGCATTTCCCATTTTTATACCGTACCGTTAGTGGACTAATCTTACTAAAGCAAATGATTTTCTCAGCAGTTAATTATAGGATAAGAGTACATATTTTCAGTTGTAACCTATTAGGCTTAAAGTGACTGTTTTGCCCTAAATAAGCTCTTAGTAAATACTTTATTTGCTCATTCGTGAAAAGAATTTCCTTGTTGGCTTTCCTTACACATAATCTGTGTAGCACCTGTTAGTGCTCATGTTGAGAGTTTGGGTTAAAGAGCCAGTTACCCTGATGAGCCCTGAAATGCCTCTGAACTTTGTGTGAGCCAGTCCAGAGAAGGTCGAGGTTATCTGGGTCAGCAGATGTTTTTGTACCTGCTGCCTAGAAAGCATCTTGGTTCATTTTGTTGGTACTGTATCACTGAGTCTTTGCTCCCTAAGGACTGAAGGTGGTTTTGTTCACCCACTAATCTGCCAGTGCTGATGGCTTGTTTCTAGGATTTCCTTTGGCTGCTGTGGACGTTTCACTGCTGCGGAGCTGCTCTCCTTCTCCCTTTCGGTCATGCTTGTCCTCATCTGGGTTCTGACTGGCCACTGGCTCCTCATGGATGGTGAGTAGCTGGAAGTGGTTACCTGTGTCAGGCTTTTAGAGTTAACATGATCTTACAGAAATGCTACCCTCCATCTCTCCTTGTTCCCCAGTATTTTGGTAATGGCACATAAGCCCGAAGGATGGGTCCTGCGTTCTGCCCCATCTTTGGTTTCCATAGAAGTTGTTGCTTACAAGCCTGTTACTCTTTGTCGCTCTGGTCTTCCCTTCTGAAATCCCTGATCCTTCTGGGAACTTCCTTTTTTGGCGTTAACAGGCCATCACTTGACAGGTCTATTCTGTTGCTGCTTGATAACCTTGTACCACAGACACAGTCAGTGCCTTCATTCAGCCACATCTTTTGAATGCCCTTTGTGTGCCAGACATTTCATCAGATACCAGGGGGACAGAGACAAAGAGGAAACATCCCTTTTCTCCACGGCGCCAGGATTATGAAGCATACATAGAAAATTAAATGCATATAATACAGCATGTCTAATTTCTTTAGAGAGGTCTGAGGACAATGGGGAAAGAAAGGAGGTGGACAATACAGACTTCCTGAAAGGAGCGGCCCTTGAAATGAGCTTTGAAGGAAGCTCGGGACTCTGAAAGGCAGAGATTAGACAGGAGTCCATTCCAGGAAAGGGGCTCCGCCTGTGCCAGAGCATGGAGGGATCAATTTGTCGGAAGCACAGTTCCAAGAGATGGAGAAGTGAGTGTGCTCTGAGAAAGTTCAGGCAACAAGGATAGACAGGTTTTTCTAGGAGTTCATGAAAGTGGAGAAAAATATAGGGTAGTAGTTTAATGGAATCAAATGAAAGTTTGGGTTTTTTTAAAAGGATGGGGGATATCTAGGTATCATTGTAAGGGATAGTAAAAAATAGGAGCCCTTGAATAAGAAACCTATGTAGTGGCAGGTGAAGTTGTCAAAAGGGGGCCATGTCCTGGAGGAGAAAGGGGGGGAAATGGGATCAGGGACACAAGCAGAAAGGTGGTCATTTGCATGAAGAAGGGCCACCTCGAAGGCTAGCATAAAGACAGAAACTGGAGTGTTGGCTAGTGGAAGGATTGGTAATGGAGCAGGAGAAATTGAGGGACTGGCACATAGTAAGTGCTTAATAAATGCTCAGTGAATTGAATTAACTTAAATGTACAGTTAGGTGCTACATATATAACACTGCTTTTGGATTCTTAAAACCAAAAAAGATTGAACTTTGAAACAGTTCTCTAGGGTTATGGACTCTGCTGTATTTTAGGTTTCCAACTCATGATTACTCTTACCTTTTATTAAGTTAATGACAGATAAAATTATTGTTGTATGGCTTATCACCAAGGTTCTTCTGTTACATTGTCATTAAGAAAAATATATGCTTTGGTCATTTGGTTCAGGACCTGAATGTCCACCATGTATTTAGACAACGAAATGAAATGTGCAGGATTTTTTTAAACGATTTTCTTTTTGTAGTAATAAGCTTTGTAGTGCCTTTTTTTCTGGTCTGGATTTCTCCTTTTAATGCTTGGCTTGTTTCTGGAGGTTGATAAGTGAAAACTTAAGTATTACACAGAGAAGGAAAATGACTTACAGATTCACACACATTTACACAGAATAGCGTGAAAAGACAAAGCCCCTGTTGTCTGTTTAAAGGAGATCATAATCTCATGGGAGAGAGTGGAAAGTGTGTCCACGAAATCACTTGGATGGCTTGCAGGAGAATAATCTTAGATGGAAGAAAATGAGGAAGGAACATCGTATTGATCAGATATATGTTTGATTTGAAAGACTGTTTAAAATAAGTTAATCTCTTTTAAAACATATCTTGTATTTTGTGTTAAAAAATGTGTTTTGCTTATTTCAAAATGACTAGAAAAGAAAGATTAACTATTACTTCATACCACAGATGAACTGCTCCTGTGATGACATCCCCTGAATCTCACGTCGTGAATCAGCTTTTTGATAGATGATAGAGAAAAGCTTCGTCTGTCTTCACTGGCAGAGGCATTTTGGGGTGCCTGTTTATGTGATTCATTCCTTTTCTATTTGAAGAAACCTGTGAAGGATTTACTATGTAGATAATTATTTTAAAATTACTCCAGTATTGCTCAGGTCACTTGATAAAATTCATCCTTCCTGAGAGAACAGGATAATGCGTGTTCGCTCAGCCCCTTAGGTGGGTGGCATGTCTCACGCTGCTGACACAAATGCCGAGTACAGTGAGTTGATGAAACAGCAGTGGTCGGCTGGGCTTGTTGGCGTTTGCAGAATACCTGAGAATCGCTTCTCTTGTGTTGGGACAGCGCAGAGTCCGTGTTGTGTCGGATGATTTCTGGCTCCCAGACATTCTAAGCCTCCTTTGGGGTGTATTTTTGGCTGCCACAATATTCTTCACGTAATGTGCCAGATGTCTGAAGCCCTTGCTGAGCCTCTGACCCCGTCACACTGTCTTGGCCCAGCAACAAACAATAAAGCTGAAGGTGACTTGGAGTCAGACATGAATTCAGATTCTGCCTCAGACACTTACTGGCTGCTTGACCCTGCGAGTCACTTGACCCCTCCTCCCTCCCCCCCTCCCGCCCTGTCTCCTCATCTGTAAAATGGAGACAGTAACAGCCCCTGCCTCTCGAGGTTGTTGTGAGGCTCAAATGAGAAGACATATATAAAGCTCTTTGCCAGCTTCAGAGTGCTTTGTGAATATGTGCTGCTGCTGCTGCTATTTACTGTGAACCATGCCTTAGCCGTTGTCTCACTTACACATGAACTATTCTGGAAGCACAAAGAGCTCCCATTTCATCTCTCCCCCAGCCTTCCTCCCCTCAGCTCCTCCCTTCTCTCCCCTCCCCCTCAGCAGTCCGTTTTTTCTTCTCTCTATCTCTCTCTCTCCCTCCTCCTCCCTTTCCCTCCTCTTCCTCTTCTCCATACAGGCACAATGTAAGGCATAAGACACTGATTCATCAATAATGTTGTTCTCTGCTCTCCTCCAGTGTGCTTTTGCTAAAGAGATCAGAACCATTGAGACTGACTCAAAGAGTTCTCAGTAATGTACACACAAGGGGCACTTTTACCTTGGGCATCCCTCCTTTTACAAAAAAGGGGGGGGAGTGCTGAAAGAAAGTTAACTCTGAAGTGAATTTTAGTAAAGCATTTCTATTTTCTCAGTAACTTCTACTCCAGAATCAAAAATCTCATAGTAAAAATCTGCAGTAATAGTTGAAAACCCTTGGTGTTTCATCAGGGCTAGCTAACTACATACTTAGAGTACCTAGGAATTCTCTTTGAGATCTGGTACTTCCTCAAGAAAGAAGTGAGAACCTGTGCTTTAAAGAAGATTATTGTCGCTGTTCTGTGGAGAAGGCTTCTCCACAAAGCCTAATCCTGCCAAGGTGATGTCACCCAAGTTCTCAAAGGCTAGCAGAGCCCAAACTCTGGTGGGCTGTGTTGTGCTGAGGAGGCTTCTTGCCACCACTGGACTGGCCAATTAGTGAGGAATTCTTTAGTTCTCATAACCCGTGAAACAAGGAACAAGTGGCCTTCATTCGTGTTGATCCCTTTGTTTCTACAATGATGGTGACAGAGAATTAATAAGAGAAGCGGGATCTAAACTGTGCTGCATCTGCTGCTCGTACCCAGCACACTGATGAAAAAGGGGACAAGAGGTAGGTATGGTCCGCATTGAAGGGGCTCTAGAAAGACAGGCCTTTGTAGGGAGAACTGTGAATCCATTTAACCATTCTCAAAGCACTGAAGAGGTCAGCAGATAAAGTAACCAGGATGTCGATACCTTTGTCTCATGGATTCCATTGCTAGGCACATACCCCAAGAAGGAAAAGAGATGGCTCCATTATACCACTATTGGTAGTATGCGTTGTGTGGTAGCCAGGAAAGGGGGTGGGGGGAGGGGATCAGTGCCTGTTGATAGAGGAATGAGGAGAAGAGTTGTGGTACCTGAATGGAATGGAAGATGTTACTGTGCTATGAGAAACAGTGAGCCTGGTGAATGTGGGGAATGCTAGAAAGACTTGAGTGAACTGATGAGAAATAAAATAAGCAGAACAAAGAACGGGCCAGTGACCGCCACGGTACGTAGAGAAGAGGAATAACTATATGATGAATGTTTCAAAATTGCAAAGAACCAGCTTGACCCCAGACAAGAACTATGAGAAGAGCTGTCCTCGCAGCACCTTCCACAGAGCCAGCACACCTCACTGCAACAAATGAAAAGGAAGAGAAGGAAAAGCAATTTGGTAAAACCAGGTAGCTCACCAATGGGGTCTGTGATGATGCCAGCGATATTCTACTTCCTGGTAGCCCCCACCTCTGAAAAAAGAAGCTCCATTTCTTTTCTTTTCCTTTTTTTTTTAAGGCAATTGGAGTTAAGTGACTTGCTCAGGGTCACATAGCTAGTAAGTGTCAAGTGTCTGGTCTGAGTCCGGATTTGAACTTGGGTCTTCCTGACTTTTCACCTAGCTGCCCCAAGAAGCTCCATTTCTGCAGCTCTTCTCTGGAGCTAGCGCTACACAGGACAGTGGTGTGACCGTGGATGTTGTCGTCCCAGTTTACTTCCTTCCTCGGTTTATATGTGTATTTTAGTGCTTGTTTGAATTCTTCATCATCTTACAACACAGTGATATTTTTAATATTTTCCCCAGTTACATTGAAAGATAATTTTTAACATTTTTTTGTTTTAGAGTTCCTGCAAAAGACTTACGATGGAAAATGCTGTTCACATCCAGAGAAAGAACTTTGGAGTCTGAATGCAGATGGAAACATACTATTTGCTCTCCTTTTCCTTTGTTTTGTTTTATTGCTTCATTCTAATGGTTCCTCACATCGGTTCTAATTCTTCTTTACAACATAACTAATGTGAAAATATGTTTAATATGAATGTGTGCGTAGAGCCTATATCAGATTGCACACCGTCTTGGGGAGGATGGAGCGAAGTAGGGGGAGAAAATTTTAAACTCAAAATCTTATGGAAGTGAATGTTGAAAACTAAAAATAAATATATTTTTTTTAAATTTGAGTTC